TATACTTGTATATATTATATGGCTCTATTCTGAGCACAGAATTTTAACTGGGAGATTTAATTTCACACTCAATGTTAAATATTTAAGCTCTATCCTGCTAACTGCTGACTCGCTCATTATAAGGTCTTGATAATGTAGCAGCTCTGTTTTTATATACGGGTTTATCTAGATGTTCAAAAATTGAGAAGATTATTTAAATTGTATAAAGCTCTTTAAAAATCCAGAATTTGATTAGTATAACGCCTTCCTCGAGTATGAGATATAGAAACTAAGCTTTATTTCAATGAAAATGGAAAACGACTACCTTCAACTAGTACTAAAGAACCTACCTTTTGAACTGTTTTTAAAAGTTCTAGATAATTCGAGTCCAACGGATATAAAGAAATTTATTGAAATCATACCAGGATTACACAATCAAATTAAAGATCGATACAAGATAATACAATGGCCTCCCTTGAGAGCAAATCCAAAGCATGAAGATGTTATCCAAGATCTAAAAACCGTGTCTGAAGATATACAATGTATATATCAATTCAAAGGTTTGATTCTATTAGAAATTAAGGATGTTGAAAGTGAATATTCAAGAGATTTATTACGAAACTTTTTACCTAAAATTGAAGCAGAAATGAAGTTTAAAGCTTTTAAAATATATATTACAAATGATGATCCTCAGTGGTATCATGCCAACCATAACGGTCGCAGTTTTATCAATTCTTTATTCTCAGTTTTGGACAAGAGACAAGATAATATATTTAAACATTGTTCACTTACAGGTTTGAAAAGGCTTCATTTACCGAATGGTAAATTTTGGATTCCAGAATGTATAAAGTTTTATGATTTTTCTCAGGATGGCTCAAGTTCCAACCAAGCTGTTGAAGATGTGAGGTTCATGGGTGGGTTAGAAACATTACGTATTGAAGGTGATCTTAGATCTGATGTTTTAGAATCAAAAATCCCACTTTTCCCTCAACAATTAATTTTATATCAACCATCAACTACACCACTTCTCTCTAGGCAATGTTTCCAAAATGTTACTGATCTAAGATTATATGATATCAATGATGATATTTTTGGTTTTGTTGAACTTCCAAACCTTGTTCATTTATTAGTCACTGGAAGAAACTTATTCAAAGTTTCAGATTTGAAAGCACCAGCCTTAGAATCACTTACAATTCATTCAGATCTTACAGGCTTATCTTTTCAACTATTCAACATTGAAACACCACAAATAAAACAATTGGAATTAATTTGTGAAACTTTCCATTCTGCAGAATTTGTTTCTTTTGATACATTGAAAGAAGTTACAATTGATCAACCTATATACTACACCAATCCACCAATAATAAACTTGGAATTATTAGCAAATAATGGGAATTTATCAAACCCATTGAACTTTGTCAAATCTGCTAAGAGAATAAGAGTTTCTAACACGATTCCTATATTTACAAAAACTCATTTTCCAAATCTTGAAAGCTTTACAATTTTAGGTGATGGTTATGGACGTCGCAGTGTTGAAAACCAAATTTATAGTATTCCATCCTCAGTTAATGAATTAATATTTACTAGTATGAAATACTTTGATGAACTTGATCACTTAGGAAGATCTGGTATTAAAAAAGTTCAAATTTTAGACAGGCATATTGATTCAAGATACAAATTGGATCTGAGAACTTTATCAATCTTGTATCCTGATGTTGAGAGTTTGATTTTACAAAATTGTTATTTAAAAGATTTAAACAATCAGCTAAACAATCACAATATTAAAGAGTTAGATGTACATTTTGACCAAGTGGCTACTGGAAGGTCCTTAAATTTTGAAGGAGCAGTTTTCAGTCAATTGAGAAAGTTAAGGATAAGACATCCTCAAGAGCACCCAAAAGTTCATCTAAAGAATTACTTAAACCTCAAGGGATTTGAAGCACCAAATTTGGAAGAGCTAATAGTACAAGATTTTCATATTGAACATCATCTTAGTACATCACCCTATCCTAAGCTGAAGAAATTAACTATAGATTATGCATCAAGCTTAGAGATTGTTAGTAGTGATATCTTGGAAGAAGTTCATCTTGATGGAGGTAATAATTATGGGTTTTTGGCTTGTATAAAACAGTTATATATGGGAGAGATATTCAGAAACTCCGGCTTTAAGTTTTATCCACCAAAGCCTATAGTGAAAGAATCATGGATGAATGTTTAATATTGTACATGTGAGGTTTTTTAGATCCAATATAGTTGATTAATTGTACAATTGTTATATACCATCGTACTATATATAATGAAATTTCGATTATCTGGCAATCTGTTTAAGTATATAGATAACTGACTCGCTTGTAGTCACTCTGCAAAGACATAACTAACGATAAACCTCTAAGGATATGAATCTATATGTATTCTCTTTAAATGAAGCATAGTGTATGCTGTAGTGCGCGATAACGAATCTTATCACCGCACCCCAGAAATACATCTCATTCAGTCACACCCTTTTCTTCCATATTAATTCAACTTTTTATTAAGGATCACCCAGTTCTTCATGATGACTACACTCACTGAATTACCATTGGAGCTCATTCTTCATATCACAAGCTTCTTGGAAACAGATCTTCAAGATTTCAAGAACTTTCTCCTTTCCAGTGTGAAGATTCAAAACTTATTGAAAGATTCATATTGCATAGTGACAAATGATATCAACTACAAGACATCTTTCAAAGATCTAGGATTCACTAAGGAGAGTCCATTCTATGTTTCGAATCTACTTGTATCGAATGATTGGATATATACCAAAGCTGGAAGAGATCTATCCATTGATGACTATGAAGATGCAGTTTATAAGGACGATTCATTTTTGAAAAACTTTAGAGGTACAATATTTCTTGATTTCCATTCTAATGAAGAAATTAATATGTTGAGTGATTCAATAAAGAAGCTTGTTGACTTAGTTAGAGATATCCCTCCTGAGAGAGTCACTTTCAGATATTCATGGTATGAAGATCCTAATGTGTTACTTCAAGATCAAAAACCAGATGTATCAACAAGTGAATTTGCTGATAGAGTATTGATCAATGTTACACATTCATCTTTAGATAATTATTTGCAAACAATGGTTGAGGAGTGTGATTTGAGATTGAAATTTAATAATCATTATGAAGCTCCTGAATATTTGAAAACTGGTCCTATTTGCTCTTTTTTTGACTTACTTTATACCTCCAAAAAAAGAAAGCGAAGTTATACTGAGCTTCCATGAGATCAAAGTTGAATATGAATAGCCAATGGTATAGTTGAACTCTAGAGGATAACCGAGCGAGCTCTCTATCACATTGGGTGCCATTCATCGATTTACTTTAACGGAGTCTCAAATATCAATTGGCTGAAAATAATCATTATTGGTATGAAGAATTTACAACTATATCGCCACTGTGCACTATAATAGCTTATATCGTATAGGTTTAAGTTCTCTGGGTAAAAATACACTCACTTTCAATGACTTTGAAGCTGGATATCCAACATATTTTATATACTTTATACCAATATGTTATACCATCTAGATCTTTCTCATATTGTAGAATATTGTACATTATCAGTGAGGATTCAACAGGAAATGATATGTGTAGAAGTTAAGACACATGCAGGTAATGTACTAATTTGATATTATATTGCACAAGAAAAACATTCTACAACTGATTTAATATAAGTATTCATAAATTCGTCTATAATTTAAATAAGATATATAAAACACATAATAACGTAACACATAAAATTTGATTAATCAGATTAGCTGAATTAAAATTGATAAGATCATAAAAATAAGTTTTTTTGATAATATTGGGATTGAATATTGATTATGAAAGTGTGAATAATTCTTTATAAAGTATCTGGAGTCCAATCAAGGCCAATTCTTTTGTATACTTTACTTTGGACTTGAGTCCATAATTTAGCTTTATCATCTTTTGTTAATTTAACAGGTGAATCTTTATTAACATCATTTAATAAAGCTTTTCTTAATAATGAATTACCACCATTTGAACTAGATGATTGTAAACTTTGATTTCTTTTGAATTTTTTCTGTTCATGACATGCCTTCTTAAAATCATAACGACATTGAGATTCAACAGCTAAATTTAATAAATAATTTTCAATAACATTTCTCCATTCAGGTTTTGATAATCTATTATTATAAAACAATGGGATTCCTGAATTTTGTAAAAACATTGCATGTCTTTGTCTTGCTGCATTTAAAGTATATTTAGCAGTTTGAATTCTAAAATTTAAATCAAATTTTGATTCTTTATAAATATCACTCTCCACTAATACACGAACAACAGTTTCATCATCTGCATCTAATGGTAAATATTGTAATTTAAATCCAGATGGAACTTTAATTTCTGGTAATCTACCATTCCATTCTGGTCTTAATTGTTCCACAATCAATAATGACCGTATATCATTCAATTCCCAATCTAATAAGGCTCTTTTGGTAAACATTGGACGTCCGTCTATTAGTAATGAAGGATCTGCTAACAATTCTGGGGCATACATATCATGGAAGCTATGTGGTAAAGCATCATGTAAAGTTAATGAATTAATTGATTCTTCTGGAATTGATTGTTGTTGATATGATTGTTGAGATTGGGGTATTATAGTGGAATCACCTGAATATTGTGAAACATTTGTAATTTGAGTCTGTATTGTATTATTTGTAAAGATTGAATCTGCATTTGTTGTGATTGATGGTGCTGATGAAATTGTTGATCCTGATGATTGTGATGAGAATGAAGATGAAATTGAAGGGACTGGATGCAATGCTAAATGTTCTTCATAGCCATCCATATCAACATCTTGGTCATTATCTTGAGCTTGATCTTGATCTTCAGCTTTTGTCACTGTTCTCAATGAACTTGAAGAATTATTTGAACTTAAACTTTTCAATCTTGAAAGGCCAAATAGTTTAGATTTAGATTTTTCTTTAGACATTTGTGATTCTTGATTTAATGCCATTGGTAACTCCAAGGATTCTGATGAATTACTTTTAGACAAGCTTGGACTTGAATCACTTGCATTTGCAACATACTTCAATGGTGAAGAGCCATGCCTTAGTTGAGGAGCTGAAGCCTTTAGATTTAATTTTTTAGAAATCTCATCTCTTGCACGATTTGTATACTCTTTTGGAGTTTGTGAAGTGTTTTTGGAAAGCACCGGTGACACATACATGTTGTCGTAGTATATGACTTTGTTGCTAGTTTTGTTTGCTTTGTTGAAGTTGGTTTTCAATTGATAGAATATATTTAAATTCACTAGGAAAAAAACAGGGTTTTTCCTGGATAAAACGGCCAGCTTTGAACAAGTCTTAGATTCTTAAAGTATCTGGTATATAACTGATGGTGCTAAGTAGCAGTGAATAACCACCGTTTATCTATTGTAATATTGATGTTTCTCAGTTGTTGAAGCAAAAAAATGAGTAAATTAGTCAAAGATTCAAAGAAAAGAAAGCTTTTTTGCCCATATTTGAAAATTTGAAATCGGAAGATTTTGAATGTTTTATAAATGGACAAATTTTATCCTGTTTCCTTTTTGGTGAAACTTTATTTTTTCAGGATCGACGGCAGTTTCAAATCACACGGGGCGCATGCAAGCCGGTTTTTCGCGAGCTTGGGGAACAGGACAAAGGTGTCAGGACAAATTCGACAGAACCATACAGGATTAAACTTTGAGATGATCCAGTTACTAAATTCAAGCAGCTATACTGATCTCAAGCAATAGCACTATCAATATATTTAGGTTTATAACTCACCATGGAGTGACCACTTCGTCTTCAACCTTCCCAGCTTGTCTAGTTGTCAAGAAGTCGCTTTGTTTCTCGGTGGTTTTTCCATTCAAATTCAGGCAGCAGGATAATTAATGTCCCGTGTCTCGGAGAAATTTCTCCGGACAATAGACATTCGTAAGCGCGCGAATCGCAACAATTGTGGGGGAGGTTTATTGTGTACACAATTAATTATTTGGAGATAAAAACATGACAAGAAATATGGTTTACCACCAAGTTAATTAGGTGAAATGGATCTTTTCAATAGTCCTTTTGAAAGCTGGGGTAGCAGGTAGCAGTTTCTCAATCGGGAACTCACTTGTATCACTGAAGCTCTTTCGACATGATATTATAATCATGATCATGATGTGGAAGATCTTATAGCAAACAGCCCTCAAATTAATCGGGAATAAAGATCAGAGCTTGGAACCACATCGAAATCGAACCTCAAAACAGCTGATAGGCTATTGGCTGACAAAATACATGGTGTCAATTTTGTACTATATATATCTACAATGAAATGAGATACACCTTTGACGGCCATGAATCCACATTATGATAACTAGTTGTGATAAATGTAGCGCATTCATATAAATAAATGCCTGGGTCACCTGAAGCCTGAGAGAGTTTCGATTCTCAATTTTTAGAAGTACTTAGCAGCCGAAGCTTCATTGACCTGCCTCTTGCGTCTAAATAATAGTTTTTAAACTCCCGTAAAGATACGACGTTATTATTATTCTACCTACGCATACCACTAGCCGGCATTCTCAACATTATTGGCAATCGAGTATACACACATGAATATTATTTAATTAATATATCAATATACTTACACTAATTTATCTCATCGATCACAAGGCCGAGATAAATTACCAATTAGAGTGATTGATAGAATTTACAGCTCATAGTGTTGAAGCCTTGGACAAATGAGTAGCAGCTACTAGTTGTACTGGAATCCATATTATGTTATAGGTTAATTGATTAGCTGATATTGGAATATCCCTAGTGACCCCATGTTTTTCAATATTGTATATTAGTGATTCTAGTTGAAGCGTAAAAAACCAAATATGGCATATAAGTTCACGTTTCTTCTCCAAATACATTGCATTATTTTTCCATTATAGAGCTGCCTTTTCTATTTATGCGCCGCGCTCGGAAAAAAGCTTAAATAACCCACAGTTAGCATCGAGAAATCGCGGGACAAATTTGTACTAGTAACTTTTATAGGCAGCTTAATTAAGGAAGTCTTACCAGGTGATGGATGACTTGGACAAAAGTTTAACCATAACAAATCAGAACTCTATAGTGTTTAAAGTCGACTTAATGTCACTTCATATAAATATTTTTCATATATAATTCAGCTACTTAAGACTTAACCTGTGATTTCTTAGAGTCGAGTCAGTTCTGGCTACAGATTCTCCTTCTGTACTTGACGCGTCGACAGACCTCTTTCAAAAGAATCACACAAGTATATGTAGTTGCGAGCGACGACCCATGTATAACACAGAATTTTGGGCATCTTTTAAGCAGTTTGTTCCTGTACAATGTAAATGGTGTAATATGTGGGTCATCGTCTGTTGATGTTTTAGTTTCTGTTTTAGTGGGTACAGGAAAACTACTTATTTTTCCGAAGGAGAACAAAACTCATGAAAAATGTTGAGAAATCCCCAGATTTTGTACATTTCCGAAAAAGGTTGATCCGGGAGAATAGTCGGAAATGTGAATCCATAATACTGTATAAATGCATTTTAATATAAATTTAAACTACCGCTTGATCAGATAATCGGATTATTAGAATATATCATTATCATTAATTTATATCAGTTGCTAAATATGTGATTCATCAAAATAACAAATGAATTATGCTTTTGTTTTTGCTTTTATATACAGGTATGAACATGGATCAATTAAACAGCTCAGAATACATGATTTGGAACCTTTAATGTTTCAGCCATTGCTAAAGCACCATCTGGATCATTTTTATTATATACAAATAAACCTTGTAGTTGAGCAGTACTGACTGGTACATTTAACGCAACTGCCTTTTCAACGAATTGTTTAGCCTTTTCAGTTTCATTTTCATAAAATCTTAAAAACATTCTTTCAATTTGATGAGCTGTGGCATCTCCAACATAAACTCTATAATCAACTCTACCAGGTCTCAAAATAGCAGGGTCTAATTTTTCGGGGTGATTTGTAGTCATGAAAGTAATTGTTTCCTCTGAAGATGCAACACCATCTAATGCATTCAAAAGACCACTAAAGGTAACACCTGATTTAAAACCACTTGAATCTGTTTGATCTCTCATGTTGAAAGCAGCATCAACATCTTCCAATAACAATAATGATCTTTCAGGAATATGATTCATCAAATGATTCAATCTATCATCAGTCAAATTAGCTTCTGATAAATTCAAAATACAAATATTATAATCCAATTCACCAGCTAAAGCTTGAATGAAACTTGTTTTACCAGAACCTGGAGGACCATAAAGTAAGTAACCACGTCTATAAGGAATACCTCTATCAAAATACCATTTACCACTTCCTAAGAAATCTTGAACATCGTTAACAATACCTTCTTTAATACCTTCATCCAAAATAACAGATCCAATCATTCTCTTCTTTTTTGGTTGACCAAATGGACGCCATTCAGGACCCCATGAAGTATATATAACTGTTTTACCTTCTTGAGCTTTCAAAGCCATTGTTTTAGCTTCACCTAACAAATCATTAAATAAACCACGATCTCTATACAAAGTGGTTAAAGTAACAGTTTCGAAAGGTGCACCATTTGTCATATCTAATAATTTACCTGATCTTTCTCTATTAATTAACATATAAGCACCTTTATATTTGATTAAATGTTTACCAGGACCTGGGACTAATGAAAATTTGGTTGTAACAGCACCATTATCATGTTGAATGAAATTTGTTTCAACACTTAAATGTCTTGAACTTCTATTTTTATATTGTGACATCCATTCTAAAAACCATAAATAAGATTTATCCTTTGATGGAATTTCTAAATCAACTAATAATTGACGATATGCAAAACCAGAAGCTCTAATTATACCTTGACGAGCAATTGCTAAAGATGTACCTAAAAGCATCAAACCACCACCAGCTGCGAAATATGGGTTACCAATAACAAATTGTTCAAATAAGTTACTAGCCATACCTTGGAATCCATCTGCTTGTGATAATTTTTGGAAATCTATTTGTGGAGGCCCTGGAGGTGGAGCTGCTGCTGGAGTTTGTGGTGGATTTTGAGATTGTACTATAGGTGCTGGAATTTCATCTTGTTTAGGTAGGACATCTGGAGAGCCCTCTTTCTTCCCACCAAAGCCAAACATATTATGTGCAAAAGCTTTTGTGTGTATACTCTTATTAGCAAAAAGGAATACTTAGCAGATCTATATCTAGCACTCACTTTCTAGATGACATGCTATACTAACATAAATTTTCAAGGTGAACTTTTTTTTCGGTGATGTAGTGGATGTATCAATTTGAAATTAAAACGTATATTCATCAGGGCCATTGGTTGTAGCATGTTTTGAAGCTGCTGAACTTCTTGTAGAATCCCATACACTAGATAACATACCCTTTTCTATCTTTTACCAAGTTTATAAATTCTTGAATAACTTCAAATTCGTTAATATTTCAGATTAACATTAGAAATCAATTGTGGTCCGTATCACATACCGCGAATTTAGAAATTTGAGCTTTGAGGCAAAAATCAAAATAACACTGTGGGATAAATTTTGTAGCAAAGATACCGATTTGATAACTAATAAATAACAAATCCCAATACTAGTCAATTGGGCTCTGAGTTAAATCAAAAGAGTCAGAAGAATCTACTAGAAACGACTTCACACTTTAATTGCTTGTGAGAACCTCAATTGTGAATCTGCTCCTTATTGACGTTATCTTTGTGGTTTAATTTTCAATATCAGTGGCACAGTAGAGATCTAAATCAAGAACTAAAACTTAGCAACACCATGGTGGAAGAAGATCAAAAGCAAGAGCTCAGTGAAGATTTCAAGACTGTACAGTTGTCATTTGATCAAAACAAACAAGAAGCTGCACCTACCCCTGATGCTGTGATTGATACTTCCAAACAACTAGGTTTCAACTCAAATCCAGAATCTGCAATTAAAGAACATCAACCTGATGATATAAGTGGCGATGATGATGAAGTTTTAGATGACGTTGCTGAAGATGCTGATGATGAGAACCAATTGGGATTATATCTAGATATACAACATAAGATTTTCAAAACTTCCAATAGATTACTAGATGATATCAAAGCAGATTTGATTTTTTTGATACAACATGAACATGGTATATTACAAGAAAGACCAATTCATTATGCTTCTAAAATTGCTGAAATAAAATATAATCCTTATGAAATTTATATTTTGAATCAAGCTAGTGAAGTTGCCCCAGGTGTTCAACATTTAACATCTAGATTTAATTCAAGGGACAAAATCACTCAAATAAGGGCTTTGATTTATAGTACCAATGAACCTTCATTAGCAAGAACTAAAATATATCATGCAAATATCCTCATAAAATATAAAGATTCAACAGAGGGTATAGAAGTATCCAATAATGAATATCATCTTGTTGATGAGTTGAATGAACATGATTCAATAGATTTGATTTCGTCAAGATTAATTATTGATTCAGACCCTGATGAAGTCAAGTCATCTTTGCCAAAAATAATTGACGAAGCTAATTATGTTTGTTCATTGACCAACAAAATTATAAGGATTGAAATATCTGAACCTGAATTTGATCACGATGATTTACATGATTTTGAATTGGGTCCTATTAATGTCAGATATACAAAAGCATTAGCAAAATATCCAGATTTAAATCAAGATATTCCACCACCTTCTCATTGTCTTCATACATTGTTTAAAGCCATTAGAGGACCGCTATCACTGAAACTTGGTCAAGATCATAGAACCATACCTGCTAATAATAAAAGTTTGAACTCGCATATCAACCCAGAAATTTTACTGAAAAGGTTGAACTTCAAACTGAATAATAATGAATTCAGTCCACCAAATATTTCTGATACTAATGATAGAAAATCTTCAATCATAAGAGAATCTTATATTAGAAAAATCTTGGAAATTATGCTGTTGGGTAAAAAGGCATATTCTGGTACACTGAAGAATCCATTTGAAATGGAATTCACCAAATCGCTAGATTTGGTTTTTCAAGAACTAAGAGATGTTGGTTCAATTAGAATGCATGACTTTACCAAAGATCCAAATTTTATCGCTTTATCTGCCCAACCATTTTATAATGACGATTTGATCATAAAATGTTATGAAGCTTCTGTTCGTTCAGATTCCCATAATAGACCAAGATATTATGATGCTTTGAAAGCTATTAGTAATAAAAGGTCAACATATAAATTGAGTTCATTTATTTCCAAATTGGTTTCCCTAAATGTTATTGGTCAAAGTGAAATTGATGATGCTTATAAAGCTTTAAGTATTGAACCATCTCAATCAGAGCAACTTGATGATGACTTATTATTGACAATGTATCAAAATGAAGTTGCATTACATCCATTAGATGGTAAACTGAGAAATGGTTTAATTACTATAGCAGATGCAAGAAACAGTGAAAAACTTCATAGATTTATCACATATGAGCATTTACCTTTGCAACAAGCTTACGATGTCTTAGGAATTGACTCCTCGGTGGATGATGATGTTGTTTCAACCGCTGCTATTGTTAAAAAAGTTGATTCTCCAATTGATAGTATTCTTGTCGACAGAGCTGTATTGACTATAGCTACAGAAAGAAAGAGTTTCAGTCTTCTTGATAATTTTGAAACTGAACACCCAGACTTAAACGACCCAATTGAAGTTAAAGATGCTTATAAATACTTGGGTGTTGATCCAAATGCTGATGACTTTCAAATTATCACCATTTTTCAAATGGGCAATAGAGAAATTATTAAGGCAAGAGCTGCATTAAGAACTATTGGTCAGCATAAAAATAGTAAATTAATTGATACATTTCTCAAGTCTGGATTAATTGATCATAACTCTTTACCTGCTGAAAATTGGCCTGTCGGTTTGAACAATATTGGTAACACTTGTTATTTGAACTCGTTATTACAATACTACTTTTCAATAAAACCATTTAGAGATACTGCTCTTGAATTCAATGATGTTTACAAAGGACAAGACATTTATAAAGAGAGAAGAATTGGTGGTAGACTAGTTGGTGAAGGTGAAGTTGATAGATCTTTCCAATTTGTTTATCAATTGAGAGATTTATTCCATGAACAAATCCATTCTGATAAAAGATGTATAACTCCAAAGAAAGAATTAGCATATCTTGCTTTCTTACCAAGCAATGCAGATGTTGAATTTGAAAAAAGCGGGAAAGATTATTCTGGGTTTTCAAAGAAAACTGAATCAAGACCACCTTCAGGTGATGATCAAAGTGATCCTATAGTAATTGATTCTGCTTCAGAAGTGGAGGCTAAGCCAGATCATGATTCAGATTACGATCTAATTGACCTGGATGAGCCAAACTCACAAGTTAAGTCTGCAGAAGGAAATGAGGATATAGTTATGATTGATAATGAAAAAGATCAATATCCAAAAACAGCTGGTAGTAAGATGGAAATTGATGGAAATAATGATGAATTTATTGAAGACGTTAAGAAAAATGATACGATTGAGTTTGTTCATGAATCTGAGGATGATGATTTATTTTCATCCAAATCTCAAGAACCTGATACAAAAGCTGCTAAAATTTCATTAACAGAGATGGAAACTGCTTACGAAATTGGTAGACAACAAGATGTTACAGAATGTATTGGTAATGTTTTATCACAGGTTGAAGCTGCTTTAAAGCCAGAAGGATTTGATGAAGGTGACAATGAACAATTAGATATGGTTAAAAATTTATTCTTTGGTGATTCTGTTCAACATCTTGTTAATTTAACAGATCCTTCTAATAAAAGGGATAAGAAAGATAGATTCTCCAACTTGTTTGTCAATATTAGTGATAGACCTAGAAATATTTATGAAGCATTTGATATGGTTTTCAAAAGTGAAGAAGTTACAATTGATGGTGGTCCACATAAAAGATCTGAGAGAATAACCAAATTGCCAGAAATTTTACAAATTCAAATTCAAAGAGTTTATTATGATATTGAATTACAACGTCCTTATAAGAGTACACAAGCATTACCATTCCCAGAAACAATTTATATGGATAGATACTTGGATACAGATGATAAAGATATCATTCAAAGAAGGGAAGATGTCGAAAACTGGAAAACTGAAATTAGAGATTTACAAGCAAGAAAAGAACGATTATTAACTAAGAATGATCAAGGTGTCACCTATAGAGATTCATTAATTTCTACAAAAGAATGGTTGAAAAGTATAGAACTTGGAAAACCAGAAACAATCAAAGTTTTAGAAAATCAAGTTAAAAAGATTGATGAAGAATTGATGACAATTTTCCAAAAAACTAATGAAATTGAAAATCGTATTGATCATCATTTCGATTCTTTCCAAAAACATGGATATACCATTTTTGCCATTTTCATTCATAGAGGTGAAGCCAATTATGGTCATTATTGGATATATATTAAGGACAAGAAATGCAACATGTTCAGAAAGTACAATGATGAGACTGTTTCAGAGGTATCCAACTCTGAGGTGTTTAATTTTGAAGAAGGAAACACAGCTACACCATACTTTTTGGGATATGTGAGACAAGGACAAGAAGACCAGATTGAACCTCTATGTAGGGTTCTTCAAGCACAGGGCTCTTCAGCTTAAAGAATTAAAATGTATTTAAAACTATTTTGAATTTATATTGTGGAATATCGGATTTTATATTTAAGTACGTTTCATTTTTTTGTAGTGTTATGAGAATTTGCGTGCGCGTTCCGATTCTGTAATTTTTGGTGAAAAATTGAAAGGTTTGAAAGCTTCAACACGTCTACAAATTGAAAACAGAGATCGGTTGATTCGAGAGAAACTGGACAATCGAGTGCTACGCAACGAAAGAATTATCTTTTAGTTAAAACTAAAAATATTGCAAGGATATCATTGTGCTAGCAAAAACCGCTACTTAATAAAGAAAGAAGCTATTTAATCCAAGTCCTATTCATACTAATCTTGCATTTTCCTCCTTGCTGGTCAAATTTGGTTCAAGATTTAAATTAAAGATTGACGAAAGTTTGAAATCAATCAATTGTTACCTAATAGAAGATTACTGAATCACATTCATAGCTGAAACTCATCAATTTATATATACAATTTCAATAACATAGAAAAGAAAATAGAAATGTCAGGATTACAACGTCGCAGAGGTGCAAGAAACGTTTCAACTGAACCAACAGATTCTGAAAGAAATTCAGTCGAACCAGAAACTAATCATAAAGTTGGTTACGATCCACATGATAATGCTTTGAAGAATGAAGAAAGAAATGAACCTACATTGACTCTAATGGAAGAAGTTATACTTATGGGTATCAAAGATAAAGAAGGTTATTTATCATTTTGGAATGATAATATTTCATATGCATTACGTGGTTGTATCTTGTTAGAATTAGCATTCAGAGGTAAAATTGCCATTGTTAATGATCCTGCAAGAAGAAGATTTGAATTATCTGAAAGATTAATACAAGTTATTGATGATAAAAAAACTGGTGAAGTATTATTAGATGAAACTTTAACACTTATGAAATCAGATCCAAATAATTTAAGTATTGCAAGTTGGATAGATTTATTAAGTGGTGAAACATGGAATTTAATGAAGATTAATTACCAATTGAAACAAGTACGTGAAAGATTAGCCAAAGGTTTAGTTGATAAAGGTATTTTAAGAACTGAACGTAAAAATTTTCTTTTATTTGATATGCCAACACATCCATTAGCTGATTCTTCATCAAAAGATTCTATAGTGAAGAGAATTTTATCGTTATTAGCTGCAAGAAATATTCAATTACCAAGTTCAAATTTATTCCCAGAAGATATTAAATTTAGATATTTACGTTCAATTTCATTAGTTGCAGGTTCATATGCTGCAAATGTTCTTGAAAATGTCTTGGTAACATTAGGTTATGATCAACGTGATCGTGCATTTGCAAGAGCTGATGAATTATTAAATCAATTTTCACAATTCCCATTTGAACCACAATCAAGTGCATTAGGATTAGGTATTAACCTTGTTAGTGAAGTTAATGATGAATTAGAAAGAAATCCAGGTTTTGAATTACAATTAGAAGTTATTGCTGGTGTTTTATCAGTCTTCTCAAAAATGGATTCAATTTTATAGATATCTTGCTGTTGGTTTTAAATATAGGTTTTAGTTTTAATATATAATTAAAAAGATTTATTCTGTTTTGTTGTGAATTTAAATAATAGAGTTACTGGAATTGTATATAATTGGAATCGAACTAAATTTGGCGTGGATGAATTATTTGGTGTCAATATTTGATCGTCATCTACAACTACAAACGCACATGACATTACTTCTAATCTTTAATTAATCTTGTTCCATTCCATAATATATAATCTTATCCCATTCCACAATAAATATATAATCTTATCCGATGTTCATATTAAAACAACCTATTCAAATATCACCAAAGTTTTTCTTTAAATATTCACTTGAGTCATAACAATCAATAACATTAGATGAAGAATCTAATTGATCATTTCCAATCTTTTTAACAAAACTATTAATCAATGATCTATCAGGATCATCATATTTATCACCACATGATTCCCACCACATACCACCACCTAATTTATTATCAATAACATATTGAGCTTTTGTTGAAACAGAATCAACAGTATCATATGAAACAAAAGTCTTTGTATCTTTGTTATAATTAAACCCAATAACAGCTTTTGAATCATATTCTTCATTTGATCCAGACATTGGTAATTTATTATAAAACCAAAAACCTTGTTCACCATCAGACCCTGGACCAACACCTTGGAAAGGTTTACCAAAACCATCAGTGTTTGTAAATGAACGTCCATAATTAGCCATACCTAAAACTAATTTTGATGATGAAATACCCTTTGATAAGAAATATTTAATTGAATCATCAGCACATAATTCATCTTGGGATTTTTTGTATAAATTACAATGATAGCCTGTTTTATCTGACCAAGAACCTGCAAAATCATAAGTCATTAAATTCCAAAATGATAAAAATTTATCCATTTCTTCAACATTGAAAATATCTAATTTTTCTGCAAATGCTGGTGAAGCGATTGTTAACAAAAATGAATCTTTTGATAAACCATGTTCAGTTTCTAAATTTCTCATTCCTTCTCTTAATTTCTTCATAATTTGTAAATATTGAGCAGCTTCAATTCTATTTTCTGGATATTCCCAATCTAAATCAATACCATCAAATCCATATTCAATCATAGATTTCAATGCAGAATCAACAAATTTTGATAATTTAGCTTCACTATCTGTACCTTTTTTGAAATTATCACTATAAGACCATCCACCAATTGACATTGAAACTTTAACATGTCTTGAATGTTGTTTAATTTCATAAAATCTTGCTAATAATCCATTAATTTTTTTATTTGAATCATAAGGACTTTGAAATTCAATATCAGTATCAGCCCAAGGATCACTTAATTTAACTTCACCTGAATTTGGATCAATATTGAAAAAAGCATAAAAAATATTTGTAACAAGATCTAATGGGATTTGTTCTGGGAAATGTTTTCTTTCATAAATAGACCAATCAGAATAGTAAACACAAGTACGAAGACCATTACCATGAGTACCTGTACTTTCAGTTGGGGTCAATGGTTGTTGTTTATTTGAATCTTTGGAATTATTGTGAACGATCTTTTTCAATCTATCAAACATTGGGATTGAAGTTGTTGGAAATAAAATATTTGGTAAGATAAATATAACTTGGATTAATACAATTAAAATAATTAAAGCAATGAAAGAACGACTTCTGGTATGTCTCGAGAAACGTAGCACTATTGTCATTCAAATATAATCAGGAAAGTTTGATATTTCTGTGATTTATCTTTGGTTTTATATGTGGGATCAAAAGAATAATTTCATATTTGTGTTTTGGAGATTTGGCTATGTGTTTATATTTTTGGCACAAACTTGATGGATCAAGAATGATGCTCGGAGAAAAAGGTCAAATATTGGTAAGAAATCGATACCTATCAATTCAATTCAATAATTGATACTCTCTTTTCAGTTTCAGTAAATCAAATACCACCATTACCTTACAAATTCATTGGGTTTCTAAGGAACTATGATCAGATCTTCAATGAGGCATAATCAATATGATGAGATGATGATGATCGCGGATCGCTATAAAGTTACCCGTCACTTTTCCCAGTAATTCGCGAAAAATAATCAATGATTTTGGCATCGTTCACATAGTAATTAAACAAAATATCAATTATCAACAACGGAAGAATCACCAATTAGGGGACTCATAGAGATCACGGATATAGTATGAGTGAAGAAGAGTCTAGAAGAGCAAAGCGCATTGTCGTTTCTGATGACGAGGAGGAGGATGCACCAGTGCAAACTGAAAACAACAGTGAAGAAAACCCACAACAAGATAACCAAGATGAACAAGTAATTAAACAAGATGAAGAAAATCAAGAAGCTGAAGGAATGGATGACTTATTTGGTGATGATGATGATGAACAAGATCAAGAAGATAACAACAACACAAGAGTGGAGAATGATGATCAAGAAAATAATAGTGATAATGATGATGTTCAAAGATATTCAGATCAAGAAGGTTTAGAATTCGCTGTGGAACAAGAAAAACCAACAAAAGAACCAACTGTGATAGGTCTTGATGTGGTACGTCATCCACCAGGCTTCCAACATGAAGATGAAAAATTATATTATACCAAAATTCCAAATTTCTTACAAGTTGATCCAACAAGATTTGATGGTAAAGCTTATTTAGAAGAATTAGTGGAAAATTCAGAATCTTTAAGTAAAGATGATATTGAATTAAATAGACTTAAAGCTGAAAATACTATAAGATGGAGATATGCTAAAGATTCCAATGGTGAATTGATACATGAATCTAATGCACAAGTGATTGAATGGTCTGATGGTTCATTATCATTAAAATTAGGTGATGAATATTTTGATATTTATAAGACCCCATTAACTGATACATTCTTAACAACTTTTAACGAAGAAAGTGGATTATTAGGAACAGATGGTGTTTTCACAGATTCTCTAAAACTTGTCCCAACATCAACAAATTCTAAAATACATAAGAAATTAACAAATGCAGTACAAGCTACACAATTCAAACCTTCAGCACAAAGTGTCTTCATTGATAAAGATCCAGATCAAGAAGCTAGAAGATTAGAAAAACAACAAGAACAATTAATTAGAGAAAGAAGAAGAAAAGAATTAAAAGAACAAAAAGAAAAAGAAAAATATGATACTGATTTACCAAGAGCTTCATCAAGAGTTACAAGAGAATCATATTACGCACAACCTAAAACTAAAGATGAATATGAAGAAGATGATTTCATGGTTGAAGATGATGAAGATCTAGATGAAGACGATGATGATGAAGAAGATGATTTAGCTGCAGCTGAAAGATTAAGAAGAGTTAAAAACGAAGGTGCTGCCAAATATCAAGATGAAGATGAAGATGACCAAGAGGTTGAAGAAGATGATGAAGATTCAAAGAGTCGTAAGAAACGTAGAGTGATAGAAGATTCAGATGATGATGAATAAAAAGAACACATTAACACTGTATAATAGAATATAAAGAACAAAAAGATTTCAAAAAGAAATATCATAAGATTAATTAAAACGTAAGAATCATTTTCTATATTTTGCTGTGCTAAAATTAAACCCAATACTTTCCTCCTCGTTTAACCAATATGTTTTAACCTGTTCTTTAATGGCTCTCATGATTATGTGTTTATGCGTTTTGATTGGCACTGGGGTAACCCGTTGATCATTAATTAATATAAATTGCTTCGATTCCCATTTTATTCAAGTCAAATTTCAAATAGAAAAATTAAAAGGTTTTCCAACTTTAGATTTCTCATTGATATACAAATATATCTATATATATTGATAATGTCCTGGGAATGTAAGTTGATAAGCATTGAATGGGATTGGTGACTTTTTGTAAAGCAATGATCAATATATACTAACAAGACCCCATTAATAGCATTTGCAGATAACTTAGTGGCTTCTGGTAAGATTGACAAAGCTGCCATTTATTCAAGAGATGGTGACAATATTTTGGCTCAATCAGACAACTTCTCTCTCGCTGATCAAGAGATCAAATCACTAGTTGCTGGTTTTGAGGACCCGTCGAGTTTCCTAAGTAGTGGTTTACGTTTAGAGGATCAAACATATAGGGTCACTAAGGCTGATGATCGTGGTGTTTATGGTAAAAATGGTGCAGAAGGTGCTCTTGCAGTAAGAACTAACCAATCCATTTTGATTGCACATTATCCAGCTGGTGTTCAAGCACCTGAAGCTAATACTGTTGTTGAAAAATTAGCTGATTTTTTAATTATGAATAATTATTAGATTCGTCAATTGGAACTTGACCCAGAAACCAAAATTCAATATCAATCAGTTAGATTATCACAGATCGTAATTCAATCATTACTATGTAGAGCTGCCAACATAATTCCCTGAAGTAATTTTAGTACTTTTAGGTTCGGTGTTCAACTAGGAAATTAGCTTCCACGTACTGCATAATACAACTAAAGCTGAACCAAAAATTGAAATGCTGAATCCCGTAAGATAACATAACTTTGAACGTAATAATCACCTACCACTTTACTCAAACACTAATCAATTTTCTTTTCGAGGCCAAAATCTTTAAAAGTTACCATGGTTATGTGTCTGTGGCCCCAAACCAAGGTTACCCGATGAGTAAACACATCGATTCTGTTCAAAAGGCAAAAATCCAATATTGTTCATAGCTAACATTCTCTTTTCATTAAATTTCAAATAAGAACATTGAAGGGTTTTAGAACTTTAGATTTTTTATTGATTTATATATACATTAGCAATGTCCTGGCAAGGTAAGTTAATTGATGTTTGAATGAGATTGGTAATTTTTGGCAATTCAATTGGGATCAATAACTAACAAGACCCCCTTTGGTTAATAGCATATACAGATAACTTGGTCGCTTCTGGTAAGATTGACAAGGCTGCTCTTTATTCAAGAGCTGGTGATAGTGTTTGGGCTCAATCAAACAACTTCACTTTTGCTGATCAAGAAATTAAATCATTAGCTGCTGGTTATGATGATCCATCAGGTTTACAAGCTGGTGGTTTACATTTACAAGGTCAAAAATATTTTGTTATTAGAGCTGATGATCGTAGTATTTATGGTAAACATGAAGCTGAAGGTGTTGTTACAGTAAGAACTAAACAAACCATCTTGGTTGCTCACTATCCTGCTGGTGTTCAAGCTGGTGAAGCTACTACTATTGTTGAAAAATTAGCTGATTATTTAATTAGTGTTAATTTTTAGATTAATCAATTGGAATATAGAAAATCAATATCAATCAATTACAAAACATGAATATCATATTTAAGTTTCATCATCTTTACATAGGGCTTTCACAATCTGTGTTGATCAGAATAGGCTGTTATTAAGGATTGTTCGTATACCCTTTTAATTTTAATTTTACATTAATGAATTAGAGATCAAATGTAGTTGCTATTTTTGTTAATCAATCTGAACTAGAAAGCACTTATAAGTAGTTTTGCTAATACTTTTAATCAAGTTCAAGTAATTAAGTCTGTATCAAGTTCTCTGCAAAATTCAATTTTGATACACATTCTCGATCGATTTGGTTGCACCGTTGCAACGTTGTATCACATCAAGATGCAAAATCTGTCGACAAACTAATAAACTCATGATCTGAACAAACTAGAAGTCACAAGACATCAATTAATTAGCACATGATAGTTTGAGCTTAAGCAGAATATCATCAATATCCGTAGATCAAAGAAGTATTTTGATCAGATTATTGAAAAGTGTCCAACAATTTTGACACATAAAGGTAGATTCCCGAATACAGTATAATAGTGAAATTTATCCGAAACAACTAAGATCATAATTAAAGAGCTGTGCAGAGGAAGGTGGTATTCCTTCTTCAAGCTTACACTCATTAATACACTACAAATACATTTAAGAATCACTTCAAGGTACTTTGCTCTTTCAAGCAAAACCGCACATGATTTGTCCGTTCTTAAGTAAGAGCTTACCACCAAAGCCCTGTGATCTCACTATTTCATACGTCGCCACTTTCCAAACCACTAGAACCTTCCATTCATAGTGAAATGATGTATTCTAAACACCATCAACGCTTTCAAATCTTCAACAAAACAAAACTGTTATAAAAAAGTGAATAATTCAAGTTTAACGTTAACTAAACGAAATTCGCAATACACAATATTTTATAAGCCATATAATTTATTCGGGGATTTTGAAAAGCACTTTAATAGCCGGTAACTTCCACGATAAAGGATTATCTTCCATACTTAAGAATGTCTACAGAATTACAATATAACAGATTTCTCATATTTGGTGACTCAATCACTGAATTCTCCTACAATCCTTATCCCTTGGGTTATCAACATGTTCAATTCGGATTCGGTGCAGCTTTACAAAATGGTGAGTATTAATCATTAATCATCAATTTAAAGCTTATCAATATCAATATATACTAACCAAATGAAGCTTATACAAGAAGATTAGATATCATTCAAAGAGGCTATGCTGGTTATACTTCAGAATGGGCTAAACATTTCTTAGAAAAAATCATTCAACATGAAAATAAACCAGATTCAAGGATTTTATTAGGTACAATTTTCTTTGGTACAAATGATTCTGTACTTGGTGGACCACAAAAAGTTGAATTACCTAAATTTTTGGAAAATATTAAACATTTTATAGATACTTTCAAAGCTAATGGTATTAAACCAATAATTATTGGTGTCGGTAAATATGATGGTGATAAATGGGAACCATCAAGACAAGAAGATATTAATGTCTTAGGGATTAGAAGAACAAATGAAAATAATAAAAGATATTCAGAAGCTACAAAAGAATTAGCAGCTAGAGAACAAGTGCCATTTGTTGATTTATATTCAATTTTTGATAATTATGAAGGTGATTGGCATGATCTATTATTAGATGGTGTTCATTATACTGGGGAAGGTTATAGATTATTATTTGATGAATTGTTAAGATTGATTAAAGAATGGTATCCTGAGTATCATCCAGAAAACTTACCATATATCTTACCATATTGGAGAGATCTTGCTACATCTGGTGGATTTAATTAGAACAGTACATTTTGTATCATTATTTTTTATATAATTCATGTCATATTCTTAATATTATAATTTGTAAACTAGTTGTTAATCTTTAGCAACACGTTTCGCAACACCATATGGATAAATCAAAGCATTTTCAACATCCCAAATACCTTCTTTAGCAAAGATATCTTGATTTAAAATTTCAATAACTTCTTCTCTTGAGTTTGCAACAACGTTTAATGAGGAGCCTGCAAATTTCTTTGGTTTATCATCTTCTGGAATTTCATGGAAAATTGCACCAACATTGGTAACTTTACCTGATTCAACTTGGGCAGGAATTGCAGCTAAATGTTGAGGACGAAATTGACCTCTATCCTGGGGTTTAAAAACTGTTAGTATTACCAACTTCCGAGATAATTATATAAGAGCGACACAATTGACTTACAGTACCTGGTTTATCATAAACAACAACTAACCATTCAACCATCTTGGAAATATTTTTAGATCTAACAGCTTTTAACATTGATCAGAATGAACAACCTTTATAAAACTGTTCACTTTGATTCTTATTTTCAAGTGTAATAATACAATGAAATCGCGGGCCTATGACTAAGCATACACTGACACGCTTAGTAAACATAATAACAAAGTTATATTACGAATTAACTAATCCAAAACACAAAACAAATGACAATATAACTAAATTCTATAAAAGGAAAATCTAAATAGCTTTTTATTGTTTAGATTTAAAATGGGCAACAGCTTGATCTCTGATTGAAAGTACAATTTTAGTTTCAAAATCCTCTGGATCACTCTTAAACCAAGTATATTCTCTAGCATAAGTTAATTTATCCATCTTGACATTATCAGCCCAAAATAATAATTTTCTCAATATATACTTGGTCATATATGGTGATTGGATATATGCAACCATCAATCTTAAATAACCTAAAGTCAGTGAATCTGTCTTCATATAATTACGATCAATGATAAATTCCATAATCTTCAAACTTTCGTCACCACACATTTTACGCTTGAAAACAACTTCGTTTAAAGTTGGTGTACCAACGGCTTGTAAGAAGAAATTACCAAGATCAACAACTGGACAATTCTTGTAAAAATCATAAATTTTAACATAGATTTCTGATGTTGAATGTTTATCTAATGAATCATAACAATCAATAAAGTTGAAAGCTTCAATATAACCTTGAACAGCAGCATCAACGACTTGATTGAAGCTTTCATGAATAGCTCCTTCAATTCTTCTAATTTCAGAATTCTTGATTTGGATAGCTTTATAATGACCATAAACATGAGTTTCAACAAGTTTTAAAAGTGGCTTGGATAATCTCTTTCTATGACTTAAAGGCTTACCTTCTAAAATATCTTGAATAATAACTGGTGAGCCATTTTTCAATTTAAATTTGGCAATTTCATCTCTTGTTTCAGGAATAATACTCAATAATGGACCGAAATGATTCAATAATGTATCAGGATCTTGTGAAATCAGAAGTTTATCTAATCTTGGAAACATAATTATTGGTTTAAACAATTCTCTTGTCCAATGACGACCTGAACCTTTAGTGAAAATTTGGAAATCAATGGAACTTGGTACCCAGTGAGAAGACCATCCATCACCTTTAATAATATCAATTAATCTTGTACCTCTCATACTAGTGAATTCAAGTAATCTCCATTCTCTAAATGAAAAGTTATAAAAAGGAATCAAATCACCTCTATATGCAGTATTGAAATACAATTTTTGATTTATGAATACAACAGTAGATAACGTTTTGTACAATTGAATATTCAGCTTTTTGTACTCATCTAGAGTTTTCTTTTCCTTAAATAAAGACAAAACATTTGAAACAAAAGATAATTGGAGTTTAGCAGCATAGCTCAACTGCACTTCAGCATCTTGTTTAGCCAAAGCATTTCCACTAAGCTTCTTAGAATTGGTTGATCTATAAATTTGAATCAGCGACAGAAACAATAATTGAGCAAAACCTTTGGATTTAGCAGTTGTAGCCTTGACATCCATAACTTCATTCTTTGGTTTAGGCTTTTCAATAACTAAACTTGATTTAGATGAGATACCTTCATTTTCAAAAACTTTAGAGGAACCAACTTTAACATTATCCACAACAGACTTTTGATTCAATTTGACATCCATTGGAGTAATAACAATTTTTGGAATTTTCAAATCATCAATTTTATGATCATCAGCATTTTTAATAGCAGATGAAATATTTGATTCAACAGTCAATTTTTCAAAATTCAAAAAGTTTGAAACCGTAGTACTAGAAATCAAACTCAGTACATCTGAATTATCCACTTCAATTGGAGCATTTTTCTTCTTGACATCTTTGTCTTGTCCATTAGCACCACCTTCTTCAAGAACACTAAATTGCTCGGTAAACATTGGAGATGGAACAGCTTGAGCTTTAGCATTTGACATAGCAACAGATAACATGTGTGATTCAGTTGATTGACATGAAGATTCAATTTCATTTTCATTTGAACTGCTTGAAGATTCCTCTAATTTTTCAAAAGTATAACGATCATTGGTATCAATATTGGTGTCTGTTAATGGTAAAGTATGTTTGAACTCGTCAAAAGAAAATTCAATACTTTCTTCATCAGTGATGGTATTGATAGATTGCAAATGGTGATTTGACTGGTCAGCATTCAGAAACAGTGATCTATTGATTCCACTGTTGGGATGTGTAAACTCAAATGGTTTATGGATCTTTGATTGTTCTTCAATAGTCATTTAAATTAAACTCTTGATGGAAAATATTACCATAGCACTCTGAGAAAGCAAAAAAAAAAAAATGGTTAGCAAAATTCAGCTGAATGATCCTTATATATATATTTTTGGATCCTATCTTCTGTAGCAATTTTTTTCAGCTTTCATAATATATCTTGTGCTTTTCAGATCTTCGTTTTCTTTTTTATTCTCGTGATGAACTGCACTTCTCAATGTACATCTATGGTTTTGTGTAAACCCGATTATGAAAAACTAAATGTTGATTCAACCTAAATGATCCAAATTAACTAAATAAACCTGAAAACTTCTCATGATTAGCAACATGAAATCAGACTACCCATGGGATAAAATATAATTTTACGTGTATTGTTGTTAAATAATAATAAATAATAATAAATAATCAATAAATAAGAGGTCAATTGAGACCACATAATAAATAATTTTAATAAATAAATGTGAATGAATAACAAGATATATCGACCAGATCCATCAATATCAGTCGAAAATACTTTTTGGTTTTCTTCTTGGTGCAATATTATCAACATCTATGGATAATCCAGGTATATAGTTGGTTGGAGAACCTCTTGGAACACCGCGTACAGAATTATAGTCCATGAACAATTTCTCTGGTGGTGGTAAAGTAAGAGCTTCCTTCTCAGCAACGAGCTTTTTCACACCATCTTCATGGACCTTATTCGAATCAATAATTTCCTTTTCTGAAGTTACTGGCTGTAAAACATTTGAAGTTAATGAATAACCGCTTTGAGATTTAAATTTCTCATTAAAAACATAGTATCCTGTAAACAATACAGCACCAACACCAAAAGCAAAGGTATATGGACCGTTTGAAATACCCTCAGCTTCAGTAATGACTTCTTCACCATGGTCATGATGATCATGATCATGTTCATGCTCATGCCCATGTTCACTATGCTTGTCTCCACTTCTTAATGGTTTGTATTGTGAAAAAGTTCTTATTTGCCTGGTGGCCAACGCACCCGATCTCAGGGAAAATCTGTTGAATCTCAACATGTTATCAAAGATCAGCTAGATTGACTTGCCTTACTTTCAACTGGATCTGAGAATAGATTTCGATATTGGGAAGTTGAGAATAAAATCAAAATACTGTGTTTTTCTCCTTACGATTATGAGCATTTTTTGAAATTGATCGCGGGAAATTGAAAATACAGAACATCTTCGCGGTGTTGCCGCGGGCCGAATTTGGAATATATAACAATATACATTAAATGAAGCTCAAAGGTATTTTTAGAAATCTATAGCTAAAAGATTTGGTATGAATCAATTACTATATTATACCAGATATGTAATTTAACGATTTTGTGGCAAGTTAGTTTTCAAATTCAAAAATTTTCATAAATTTTATTGACCACCATATTTTAATTTTATGTTGAAATTTTGGGATCTTAAAAATAGTTGAAATTTTTTTTCACGCTTTTGACAAAATAAAGTATCTAGCTATATTAAATAGAAAATTTCCAATTTATTGAAATATTTTGATGTGTATTTTATAGAGGAATGATTGCTTTAGACGTTATTGAAGTTTTCGCTGGATTTCCGAAGCGCATGAAATTACTTAAACTTCTGACACAAAAGTTTCATATAAAAGCTGTTTAAAGAAATCATCTATAATTACATAGATGAATTATCTAATAGTTAGATTATTCAAATTATTGCTTAAAATCCATCTTAATAATCGAACTTTCAAGAGAAAAGCACTGTTGGTTATTTAGCTTTTCTTCAAATCCACCAGCTGCATAGATATAAGTCATAAGCTAATGCAGTATTAATTTTGTATAAATGGTGATTACGATTACTACAAAATCCACAATAAACAAAACTTGAATCTTGGAACATCATTTTTATTAATCAACTTTCTACATTCGAGTAGGCAATAAATTTCAAATGATGATTAATTCGCATCTTCAATCTTCAATGTAGTTACAAATTTGACCTTCGACAGGCTCCGAATAAAACAATCATCTAGACCATTTAAACCCCAAATGTACCTTTCTAATAGTAACACCAGTTTATATCCATTAAAGTTAGTCATCTTTTATGAAAAATCTAATTAAAAAACATTTTTCAATTATTTATTCGGACTCGAATTTCCATGATATATCATCATACTCATCTCTTTAACTATGCTATTCGGAGGTACTTCCAAATTAGGAATCACCGCTCTCGCATTTGAAATTTTTCACTGTTGGAGAATGGAGATTACTACAAAAGATGAAATAGAGCTAGACAAACGATACTTGAAGGAGTTAACCAGTGATAGATGGTTTCTGTATTTAAACGTTTGATGATCCCTATATGTGGCTGAAATCTTGAAGTGAAAGTGAATAAAAAAAATTATTCACTGGAAAGATCAAGTATAATTTAATATATTATGTCTGGTGATCAACAAGAAAGAAAAAGTATTGATTCTGATGAAGATATCGTTGCTGAAGATCCCGTTGCTATTGGAAAGACAAGAACAAATAGTGTTGATAATGAAAGAGACATCACAAGACAATCAACAAAGAATGATGATCAAAAATCCATACCAATCATCAAACAAATTACAAACAATTCATTAAGTAAAAAACTTGGTGATTCACATAATAATATTTTAAGCCCAGCCAAGTTAAGAATTGTTTTATGTGCCATGTCAATGTCACTTATGTTTGCATTTATTGATCAAAATGGTATATCAGTCGTGCTTCCTTACATCGCTAATGATTTGGATGCTCAACTAACAATAAGTTGGGCAGGTACTTCACAATTGATTGCAAATTGTTGCTTCCAATTACTAGTTGGTAGATTTGCAGATATTTTTGGTCGTAAAAATGTTTTAGTTTTCATGATTTTAATGCTTGGTATATTCGATCTTGCATGTGGGTTAGCACAAACAAGTGTTCAATTTTTCATATTTAGAGCAATGTGTGGTATTGCAAATGGGAGTGTTATGTCTCTTGTTATGGTTGTTATGAGTGATCATGTTACTATTGCTGAAAGAGGGAAATATCAAGGTTATTTAACTGCTTTTATCGGCTTGGGTAATGGGGTAGGTCCATTATTATCTTCAGCTTTTGTTCAACATAATTATTGGAGAAATTATTTCTTTACATTATTTGCATTAGTAACTGCAAGTTCTTCAATTATTATAATTTTTTTACCAAATTCTAAAACAAATATAAGTATGAAAGAAAAATTAAAAAATATTGATTATGTTGGTTGGGTTTTCGGATCATTGGGACTTATATTAGTTTTGATACCAATAAATGGTGGTGGTTTGACATATGATTGGAATGAACCCAAAATTATTATAATGTTTGTTATTGGTGGGGTATGTTTTATTGTATTTGGTATCATAGAGACAAAATTTGCCAAATTACCTCTTGTACCATTCAAAGTTTTCAGATCAACATCATTAGCATTAATTTTTATCCAAAGTTTCTGTCTTGGTGTTGTATTTAGTCCATTACTTTATTATTTGGCATATTATTTTGAAATTGTTAGAAATAAATCAGTTTTAATAACTGCATGCTATTTCTTATGTATTATTGGTCCACATTCAACTTTTTCTGCAATTTCAGGAAGAATAGTTTCGTCAACTAATCAATACAATCCAGTTTTATGGACTGGATTTGGACTTTGGACTTTAACATTAGGTGTTTGGGCTGGTGCCATAGATAAAAATACAAGTCTTGTTGGTGTTTGCTTTTTAATGGTATTTTATGGGATAGGTCAAGGTATGACATTTCAAAATACTTTGGTTGCTGCTTTAGCTCATTCAAGATCTCAAGATAGAGCTGTTGTTATATCAACAAGAAATACACTTAGATCTTTTGGTGGATCATTGGGTTTAGGTTTTAGTTCATTAATATTTGCCACAAGTTTTACTAAATCATTGAAAAACGATGATTTTATTAATCAACAAGATAATTTACAATTGAAACAATATCTGGCTGAACATGTTTATTCCAAAATTGATTTAAGTCATATTTCTATAACCAATGAACAACATGAATATATTAGAGATATTTATATGCAATGTTGTAAAGATGTTTTCACATTTTGGGCACCAATCATTGGTGTTGCATTTATTGTTTCATGGTTTATTAAAGATAAAGGTCTATCAACAAAAAATGAGCAAAAAGTTGAAGATGAACAAAAATTTGAACAAAATGATAATATAAAAGGTGAAGAGAAAGTATGAAAGGCTTTCATTATATTTATATATATTTATTTAATCAATTAATATTCAAAAATGTTTTAAAAGATATTTGTAGTTTTCTCAATATGCTAAACAAGTAAAGCTAAGACAAATCCCAAGATTACCAAAAATGAAGCCATAAAACTTGGTTTAACCAATTGTACAGCATCACTGGACTTTTCTGCTTTATTTGATTCAATTGGTGATGAATTAGTCCAATTGTATGAATCAATAACTTCTATATGTCTATTTTTAAAATCAGATTTTGTATCAAATAAAATAGCATCTAATTCAAATGAATAAGTTTCAATAGTTGTATCATCAGATTTGAAATTTGTGTTGTATGATTTATATTGACGAATTATTAATCCTTCAGCTTTTAAATTTTGTTTAATTTCTCCATTAATTGTAACATTGAATAATTTAATTGACTTTAAATCTGTTGTGATTTTTGCACGATTTTCATCATCATCAATATCAAAAGCACCACTGTAACCTCTTTGAATATCAACAAAGATAGTAGAACCATTTGAGTTTAAATTTTCATATTGTCCATTTTCAAGAAGTAACTTCAAAGGATTTGTTAAATCAAATAAAGTTGTTTCATTATAACTTGCTAAAGCAAAATCAGTACCATTTTTTGTATAGAAATTCCCGTTTGAATATAATTGTAAAACACCAACGATTTTGTTTGATTCATCACTAAGATAGTCATTCAAAGAGTTTGTTCCATTACTTGTGAAATTAGAATAATTTGAAGAATCATAATGAATTGAAAGTTGAGCATAATCAAGATCATTGATTGGAGGTTTTGCTTGTGTTAATGATGAATTAGAAGTATTAACATTTGTTTCTATCTCAAAAATTTGACCATAAGTGAAATCTAATTCAGATGGATTGAAGACTGGCTGATAATAAGTGATACATTGAACTAATGGTAGCGCTGTTGCTGCTAACGAAACGATTGGAATGATATTAACCATTTTGAATGGGACAGATAGATATAATTGAGCACTGGAGCTTTGAATGATTTTCAATAATCAGGATCTGATAACCACTTTATAGTGTTTTATAAAGTGTGGTACACATCTTAAAAGATGCAGCATAATGGTACCAGAATTGTAGCTCTATGTTTATTTCTCAACGGTGATAGGGTCCTTTCAGTAAACATACATAATAATTTTTTTTCGTATAAGTATAATGTATTATGCATATTATCGCACAACGGTCAGTCAAACAATAACGATCTAAGTTTTTGACAACGAAGATCATGGTGAAGTCACACATCAACATTCAATACCTGACCAGGGTGCCATGGTACTATGATTTCAAACTAAAATGAGTTCTTGTTTAGCTTACAGGAATAATGATACGCATAGTTGGCTGCAGTTCAAATGTTATGGAAAAATTTTCACCTTTAATCACGCACAGTTTGAGCATGTATAAAGGCCTTGGATTTGATGCGTTAATAACCCCCAAACCCCAAGTTCCATGGATAGTACTGGATCCTGAGAGAAGGAAGCTGAACTATGTGTTAGTGAATACTTTTAAGCTACTACTCAAAGCTCACACAATTACTCTTGAATAGAATCAATGAACCAATTAATATAACGGATATAAACGCATCTTAAGACCATCACTGGTACATTGACACCCTTGAACCCCATCAAAAATGAAGAATCAATATCAAACCCACTTACAACCATCAACCCATTCATATCCTTCCATTATCACCAACTCCACCAAACAAAACCCTCTTAAAACCACTTTAAAACCCTTAAAAAGTTTATACCTTCTGTCATCAAATTTCGTGTATTCCCTTAAAATCCCGGCTTCTGTTCTCTGTTAACCGAAAATTTCCGAACCCACGCGCTTTTTGTGAAAATTAAAAATTGTTTGCTTGGTAAAAGCAAAAGCAAAAAAAAAAAAGTATAATAAACTCAAACAACAATTTTTTAACTTAATATAGATAATTTTTCCTATCAAATATATCAAATATATCAAAAAGTACATAATCTAGTGCTTCATCAATACCCTAATATCAGATTTTATCACATATATCACATTTATCACAATGAAGGATTCATCAGCAGGAGGATTTTGGGTATTATGTCCCGTTTTTTTAATTGCATCAGATTTTATTGTTTCAAAAAAATTAGCATCAAATCCTCATCATTTAGCGACTAATAAATATGCTTCAAGATTAGCAAGAAAGAAATTAAATAAGTCTAAGGATTAATAGTTATAAGTTATAAGCTCTTGTTGTTTGTTTGGTTTGCATTATAAGGGGTGCCGTTCTTATACCCGATGGTTATATGGTTATGGTTATCCATATTTTATTTATTATATCAATTTTTTCAAAAAGTTGATTATGTTATTTATCATTTGCATTAAGTTTTTAATTGGTTTTAGTTTTATACTTGGTTTACTTGGGTTCTTATTGGTTTTTTAATTTTTGATTTTATATAGGTTTTGCAAAAAAGAAGTGACCAATAAATGTTTTATGAATTATGAAGTTTATGAAGAAAAGATATTAATGTCACTTTATATAATATATATATTAATTCCATGAATAATGTCTTTTTGAATTATATAGGATTGGGTATATATTATAATAAATATTTTTAATTAAATAAATAAATAACTAATCGTAAACACATTAAAATGGTAATTTTGATTGAGATTTATCAATTTTAAATTTATTCTTTTTATTTGATTTTTTACCATGATCATTTACTTTTCTTTTAGCTAATCTTTCTTCACCATAACTTTTTGTATTATCTTCAACACCATTAAATTTTTTATTTAATTCAATTGCATAATGGAAATCATCATGTTCTAATAAATCTAATATTGATTGATCTTTACATTTTAAACATTTAAATAATCCATTTGATAAAGGTTCATAATTTGATATAATATCATTTGATACTTCATCTTTATTATTATTATTATCTTGTTTTGTAATTGATTTATTACTCTTATCATTTGCATTATCTTTATTAACATCCTTTTGTTTAAACATCTGCGAAATCTCAAATTTATTCTCCTTCTTAACATCCTTCTCCTTCTCCTTCACCACTTTAACCTCCTTCACACCCTTTTCCCTTTCTTTATTAAAAAAATCATCAACATTCCCCTTTTTAACAAATCCCATTATATTCCCATCTAATCCAGAACCTTCATTACTTTCAAAATTTGATATAGTCATACTTATATTTTGTAATGGGTAAATCTTACCCCATTGAGATTCACTTAATTTTAACAAATTAACACCATATTGAAATAATACAGATTCTAATTCATCTATTGGTACTAAAGGTAATGAACTTTGTTTTGAATGAGGTTGATTAAAATTATTTATTGAACGGAAATGGATTGATATTGTTTTTGGTCTGGTTTTGTAGCCATTTTCATCATTTGTTTCGATTAATCTTTGATATAAATCTGCGGAAAATACTTTTATCCATTGGATTGAATCCCCCAAGGATTTAACAGATTTAAATCTTATATTTTTATTTGAATTCATTGATTTAAGGATTATTCGTGATGAAAGTGATTGCATATATTCCCCACGGATTAGTTGATAAAGTTTTGATGCTAATTCTTTATCCTCCAAGTAATCTTGTAATTCATTTAAATCATAATTATTTCTTATAAATGCAATTGAATCCTCAAGGGGAGGTGATAATTTCATTTTAATAAATTCACCAGTTTTACCACCCATTGACCAAAAATCTGTAAAATCAAAATTTTTAAGAAAATTATTAATTGAATTATTTCGAACTATTGTTTGATTATCAGGTTTCCTGAATCCAGAAGCTAATTTTGCAATTGTTTTAACTCTTCCAACACCAGCTGAAAGGGTATATCCTAATTCTTTTTGTACTTGGAGACGAATTTCATTTGTTATTTGACCTCCTATAATCATTAATAAATCATCCCAATCTTTTATTATTAGAGATGTTGAATCAAATTCATTTGTTATAACATCACCAGTAACTTCTAAAGTGAATCCATCAGGTATTAAAGGTAAAAACCCATCACTATCTAAATTTTCAATTTGTTTTTGTAAATCTGGAATCATTTCAAATACCCGCTTAATAACTAATCTACCTAAATCCATAAAACTTTCATCAACACTTGCCTTTTCCACAAGATCAACAATTGATTTAAAAATTTTTAAAATTTTCCTTGATTCTCTTCTATAAGGATCCAAACTAACTTTATGATCAATAGGACTTGGGAACTCATTATCATCATCATGATATCTCCAAAAATTTTCACCTTTACGGAAAACAGCAGTATGTATAGCTTTTAATATTGGACATTTTAATTTTGCATTTTCCAAAGTATCCATCCTTGTTATACCATATTCTCTTGCCTTATAAGAAACAGCTATTAATGATGACCATTGGACACATACTACTGCATCTTCAGTTGATAATCCCAGTCTTATTTGTTCAACTTGAGCAAAAAATGCATTAACATCAATATGAGCAATTACTGATAATGGAGATGAATAAGCTTTATCTATATTGTTTAATTGTAATAAATCTTTTATTTTGAAATTTGAATGTGTTGTATGAGGTGGTTGTATGTATGTTAGCTTGGTTATTTTAGAATCAGTCATTTGATCATTGATATGTAATGTATATAATGTATATTGATAATGCCCTAATATAATTGTATTTGTAGTAATTATACTGGGTATTAAATAAACATCCAAACACCAGTTGAGTTTAAGTATAAATTTTATTTAAAATTTTTTTTCGTTCAATTGAAATTTAAACAAAAACCATCAACAACAACAAAGAAATGAAGAAATGAATAACTATGGATAATTGACTATTGATTATTTATAGTATCAACTATTGATATATTGATAATGTTATTCATCAACTATCAACTATTGGAATAGTGATAGTGATAATCATTGTCATTGTCATAATCTATCAGAACCATCTCATCACTCCATTATTTTGAGTTCAAATAGTAAGTTATACCATTATAACCACCAACAAAACACACTTTTATGATGACAAGTTGTCGCCCCAAACAGATTATCGTTAAATTATGATCGATTCGATTCAAGCCAAACACTGAAAATTCTGATCAAAGTGTGCTGTGGTGTATTCACTCTTGAGTATTAATACTAACTATAATACAGATGAATTGATGAGTATTATTGATTATACGCTAATGATGATATAATTCCATGCTAATCATGAAATATTAATGATTAAAGAAAGAAGCGAAAGCAATTCTGAAGCGTTGTATAGACATAGAATAGATGTGATTATTAGTATATTATATTGTAGATTGATTCTAGTTAGTGTACCATAGATTGTTGTTCTTATAGCCTTTATTTGATTGTGTTTTCATTGTTTTTGTATTACTCTTAATGGATTGTCTATCCACTGTCTATCCTTTTGAGTTTGGCTGTCTGCCTGAGTCTCTGCCTATCCCTCCTTGTACTCTCTGCCTAGCCCTTGCTTAGTCTGCCTAACACCAGTCTAACTCCTGCCTAGCCCGACCCTGCCTAGCGCAAATCTTTTAAAATTCCATGAAAAAAGCATTCTTAAAGAAATATTACAACCATTACCAACAACAACAACCATCAACTAATAAATCTATATCTATAACCACATCCATATAATCCATAAATATCCACACCATGCCCAACACGCCCATCCAAGACAGAATACAAAACAAATCAAAAGAACTAGAACAACTACAACAAGAATCAAATAATTTAATATTAGAATTAGAACATCAAACTTCAATAAATCCTGAAGAAATTGTTAAATCTCATATTTTGGGATTGAAAAAATATAATGAATTAAAAGATGTTGCTATGGGGTTGATTACAATGATTGCTGATCAAAGACAGTTGAAGATTAGTGATATATTGAAGGAGATGGAGGTTGAGAAGGATGAGAAATGAGACGAGTGAACGAAGTGAACGAGTCTCATATAAATACTAAAGAGACGAGTGAAGAGACGAGTGAAACGAGTCTCTTTATTCAAGTAATCAATAACTAGAGAATCAGATAATGAATCAAACAACTAATCAATCAAAACATCAAATAACAAGACTTCGTCTTATTATTTGATATTCTATCTTAATGACTTATGAACCCATGCTATAATAATTTAATTACATTCATTTAATTTCATTTCATGACTATACAAATTGCATTTAATATATTTAATTTAATATTTAATATTTGATTATTGTAGGAATAATATAATACTAATATAATACCAACATGATACTAATAAAATATTAGCTATTAATATCTTAATATCTTAGTTTATTACTAGTATTAAATTTATTTGAATAGTAATTTTACGCGAAGTTTCAAATCAAAAAATTCAAAAATGTCAACAATAATTTTAAAATTTCACCGTGAATTGTTTCAATATTACATCAATTATAGTCAAAGTGGTGGTTACATTCATAATGTCTGATACATTTGATAATATCCTTCCATTACCATATAGAATAATATCATTATTACTATTAGGTTCATGGTTATGGTTAATTATATTGAAAATTTCATTTAAATACAATATAAATTTAATTCAATTATTAAAAATTAATGAATTATCATCGTCAATTTTAGAACAAAAAGAATTATATACAAGACATGAAAAAACTTGTATTAATATATCACTTATATCAATAATATCATATTTGATCTCACAATTCTTACATAACAAGGATATTGAATCAATAACAATTTGGGATTTTTTACCAATTTTAATAATTTTAATCATTGCATTCCAATTGATAAAACCAAATAATCATGGATCCAAAAGATTAATTTCAACTTTCAATAGAATCCTAAGAGGTAAAATTTCTCAAAATTTAAGAACAAATGATATTTTATTAAGTGATACCTTAACATCATATTCCAAAATCCTAATAGATTTAGCAATTTATTCATGTCATTTAATTAATAACAAGACTTGTTTACCTAAATCAACAGGTCCAACTTTATCAAGAACATGTGGTGAATCAATAATGTTAGATTCTCTTATAGGATTAATACCAACTTTTATAAGATTAAAACAATGTTTGTGGGAATATAAATTATCAAATTTTAGAAATAAATTACATTTATTAAATTTTTTCAAATATTCAACAAATTTACCTATTGTGATTTTAGGTGTTTATATTAGATTTTATCAAATTCAATTAACCAAATTTTGGGTGTTCCTTGCATTGATTAATTCAAGTTATACATTTATTTGGGATATTAATAATGATTGGAATTTAAATTTATTAAAATTTGATTTAAGAAATCTTTTAAGATCAAAAATTATTTATAATAAAGTTTTCTATGGATTTGCCATAATCATTGATTTCTTACTTAGATTCATATGGATTTGGAAATTTCTTTCACCAGCCACCGAGAATTCATCATGGTTTTATTCTTGGATAAGTTCATTATTTTCATCAGAATTTGGAATTTTTTCATTAGAAATCTTGGAAATTTTAAGAAGATTTATTTGGATTTTAATTAAATTAGAAGTTGATTATATAAATTTAGATCCAATTAAAGATATTGAATTAAATGAATTGAAATAATAAAGACCCCAGCTACACTAGTTAAAAATTAAATATAATATTATATACAAAAAAGTACCAATGCATAATCACTTAATCTCTATTTCTTGATTTTTTTTTACTTTCAATTGCCTTTCTATTATTTGCACGACGTTCAGTTTTAGTTAAATAACGAAACTTCTTCTTCTTTTGTGCTAAATTTTTTTTAGGTTTTTCAGCTCCGGCAATAACTGCATATTTCTTAGCACGATCTATACTTTTATCTAAAATTTCTTGAGATTTTGTTAAATTAACATAATTTAATTTTGCAATTTCTTCTAAATTATTATTTAATTCAATATTTTCAATCGTTACTGTTGTACCTTCATCATCTGATTCATCTTTAGAATTATTATGATCTGGATTTGATGCTGCATAGATTCTTTTCAATATACCTTTAGACTTTGGTTCTTTATCTTCTTCAAATCCACTCCATTCTTCAAATTCATCTTCTTCATCATCTTCTTGCTCTTGATGCTTTTTACCATTCTGTACTTTAACTTGTTTTTGTTTTTGATCATGTTTCTTCTTTGATTCAGGTTCTTCATCAATAGATTCATCACTTAAATCCTCATCTTCTTCTTCTTCATCAGATGATTCATATTGACCACTTAATTCTTTCATTGATTTAGCATATTTTTCTAATTGTGCAGACATTTCTTTTTGTCTTTCTAATTTTTGTTGTTTACGTTCTTCAATCTTGGCTAATCTATCTTGTTCTTTATGGAACTCTTGTGCTTTTTTTTGTCTTTCTAATTTTCTTTTATGGAACCCTGTTAAATATTCACTTAAAAATTATTAGTCTAAATATTTAATACTTCAGTTTACTTATAACTCACTTTCTTGATTCTTTATCAAATGAAACTTCTTCAACTGCATGCTTCTTGGCCTTGTTTTGAGCATACTTCTTACCACCAGTAAGAATCTCTCTATTATGTCTAGCCATTATTATACTAATGATTAATGAACTATATAGTATATTATTATTAGAGCCCGAGAAAGTTTTTATGATCTGAGTATTATTGTTTTTTTTTCCATCATAAATATTTTTTTTTTTTTTGAGTCCGGCTTATGTAATCCAACGGTCATATAAAGAACTACAATTTAAATAAATTCTATCATTATTTATTCATGAGTATTTTATATTCAAAGTCAAAGTATACCAGAAGGTACATCAGATGCTTCATCTCTTGATATTTGTTCTTTTAAAATTTTCAAATGATTCTCAGCAAGATTAACCATTTCATTTAAATCTTGATATTTATGATTTTTTTCTATTATTGAAGATTTTGTTCTTTCATTAATCCATTTCCAAACTTCATATTCTGTTTGTTCCCTTAATGTATTCTTTTTCAATGAATCTTCTACTGATGGCATAATCATATATTCACGTCCATCAATCATGATTTTTTGAATTCCATCAATGTTTAATGTTGATGATGGTGTTCCTGATTTTCTTAATATAAAGAATAAAAATATAACAAGGAAAATCATAATACCAAATATATATGGTGATTGGAATCTATTCAAGAAATCCATTAATGGATCATGATCTTGTTGAGTGGAAGTTTTGGAATCGGAATCATCAGGTTCTTTTAAAGTATTTGATCTTGATTTATTATTCTTATTTTTTTTCTTAGATTTCTTACCAGATTTAGCATTTGTAAGGATTGATTTCAATTCTGAAGTCAATATACCAACAGATTCATTTTGTCCATCTATTGTACCTTTTTCAATTGGTCCTTTAATCCAACTTTTTGCAGTCCAATTTATAGATGTAATAATTAATAATCTTGTTGAATTATTTGAACCCCATGAAAAATAAAATTTTGTTTGAACAGTAAAACTATTACCCGAGGGGACATCTGGATTTTTTGTTGATTGTGTAACAAGAATATATTTATTTATATCAAAATGATCAATAGTTTCAGTTATAAGACATCTTGTTTGTTTTGGTCCAATTGATCCATTTAATGGTTTAACATATTGATAATTTCTTTGTTTAATACTATCACCTTCATTACTAAAATTTGGGATTGATGAAATATCAACATTTTTTTGTGCTTCTATAATTGATTTTAAATATGATGAATCATCACCGAAAAGTATACTATAAATTGTACCTAATGGTGCATTGAAAATTTCATCAGCAATTTGTGTATCACCTGAATTTTTCTTATATTCATTATCAGTTGGTTCATGAGTTGAAGGTCCAATAGTTGGTAATGAACTAGAAGAACCATCATTTCCATCAGAATAACTATTATCATCATCATTACTAAAGCTTGAAAAACGTGATTTTAATTCATCAACAAGAATATTCATAGATTCTTTTTGACCATCAACTGAACCTTTTTCAACAGCACCTTTAATCCAACTCTTTGCAGTCCATTGAACTGAAGTGAAAACAGTTATGGAGGTTGAATTCTTAGGACCCCATGATAAATAGATTTGAGTATTTGTTGAAAATGAATTACCTGAGGGAACATCTGGTGTCTTTGTGGTCTGTGTAACGAGAACATAAGATTTAAAATCTTTAAACTCAATCGTTTCAGAGACATGACATTTAGTTTCCTTTGGACCCACAGGACTATTTAAAGGTTTAACATAAGTATATTTTCTTTGATTTGAAATGAATTTTGGAATTGTAGAAATTTCTTTATTTTTTTGACTTTCTAAAATTGATTTGAAAAAATTGGAATCATCACCAAATAATGAATTGAAAACTTTACCTAATGGTGCTTCAATTATATCTTCTTTGATTTTAGTTTCTCCATTAACTTCTTTATGTTCAAATTCTGTTGGTGAATGTTTTGAAGGACCAAATTCAACACCACCTAATTCATCTGAAGAATCATCATCAATATCATAATCATCATCTGAACTATATCCATCTTCACCATTATAATTTGAATCTGAATCTGAATGAGAAAAATCAACAGGAACATCAACATTACCAGCTGTTGGTCCCCTTACTAATTTAACCCAAATATTTGTAATTAAATCAAATGTTGTATCTCTAACTAAGAATGATGCAAATATATATTTTTGATGTAATGTTTGAATAATTATACCATTAGGGAAAAGACCTGCAGTGTTTTTTTTCTCTAATTGAACAATTTCTTGAATTGGAATATTTATATTTGTTGTCCAACCTAAAATATTTGCATTAAAACAAATATGTTTTTCAGTAATATACATTCTACCTTGAACTAAAATATCTCTTTGTAAAGCACAACTATAATCATCTAATAGTTTTTCACTTGATGGGATTTTTTTAAACATTGAATGAAATTCTTTATCTCTTTTTTGATTTGCATATGAATAATCTTTTAAATCAGTTGTAGAAAAACTTGCAGACATTGGTGTACCAGATGGACTACTAACTTCAGTATCCACTGAATGTGATGTAGTAGTTGGATTTAAGCTATTATTATTATTGTTTGGATGATCTTCTGTGACAGAACTTACACTTCTTCTATGCATCATTCTTCTTCCTGCAGCTGCTAATGAATCTTGAGTTGGAATTGCACCAGATGATTTTGACATTTTCAAATTTATTGGTGATATTGATCTTCTAAATGCTGAGACTGGTGATGCTGATCTCATTGTTTCAAAACTTTCATCTTGAGCTTTAGGATCAATAGAACCCAAATCACGACTAATATTAGCATTTGAAGTTGAAGCACCTAATTTCCCATTTGATAATTGAGTTGATGATCTTCCTAAAGCACTTGGTCCTGACATAACTTTAGACATTGCAGCACCATTTGAATCTTCATTTTGAACACCCGATGCAAGATCTCTAGTTCCTGAAATGGAATTACTATGTTGTACTCTTTTTTCATCAGCATTATCAACTGCAATCATAGGTACTTGAGTTTGTTGAGATCCTAAAGTTCGATCATTATGCAATCCAGAATCTGTAAAGCCTAATGCTTCTAATGTTAATTCTCCTTTCCCCATTGTACTTAGAGCATTTTTCCTAATAGGTTGGAATACAACATCATGTGCAATTGATTGAGTTCCACTTCTTATGGAACGATCATCATTATCATTATCACCTTCATCTTGGGTTTGTGGATTATTTGAATGATCTGCAGAATTATCTCTTGATTTGTTTTTTGATTGTGAAAATAATAAAGAATCTAAATGTTGCATAAATGAAGTACCAGTACCATTGCCAGTACCATTATTCGTACTATTTACATTCCCATTTTCATTATTATTATTGTTATTATTTGAGCTTGAAGCATTTTCAGTTGGTGGATGTGATTTGAATTCTTCAGGATGTGATGAAGATGTTATATTTCCAAGATGTGAAGCAGCATTATGAGCAGCAGACAAAAAATTTGAAAAAATTCCACTATTATTAGCTTCTTGATTTAATATACTTGTTTTTAATGTAGAATCTGTATTTGCCATATGAGCTTCAACTTCAATTGGTGTTTCAATTTCAGATGTTGTAAATGAATTCTTCTTAGATGAACCGCCATTGGTGGGTTTAGTATTTACTTTTAATTGATTTGGTGAAGATTCTGCAATTGGTTCATTAACTAATGGTAAATTATGAGATGATGAATTACCCAAAGATACACCAGAATGTGGAGGTGAAGAAGCATCTGTTACTGGTAATGAATCAGTCTTGATCAAAGGTAAGCTCAGTAGAGCTGGTTCTTGTGGATTGAATCTTGGTTGTTGTTGAAATTGTTGTTGGTATGTTGTATGTGATTTAGCAATGTCCTGATCATCATCACCTTCAGAATCCAATTCACCATGTTTATGTCTTCTTGATCTAAAAAGAGATCTTGGACGATCTCCCGAAGTTCTTTGTGATTTGATAGAAGTTATTTCAGGCATTAGTGGTGTTTTGGACATGGTATAGTTATTATCTTCTTGAGAATGAGATTCCGTATTCATTGCACTATTTGAACGTGGTGACAAGATTGGTTCAGTATAGTTTCCAACGTCCGGCCCAGGCCTGCTGAGTCTGCGAGACTTGTTCTTATTCTTGAGTGGACTATCTTTTGTAGACACGTCTTTCATTTGGTGAAGAGTTGGAACACTTCTAGTTGAAGTAGCTTTGGAATTTGGGGTATTAATAGATTCTTTGTCATTATACAAGCTGCTATTCTTGCTGCTCTTGCTCCCGCTGCGCTTGCGCCGCCCAAACTTGAAGGACCCCATCTAACTTCCTCCTGTGATCCTGTGATGCCCTGTGACTTTTTGTGCTTTGATTGAGCGTCTGTTCAGCTCTGATGAAACTTTTTTTAGTTGGTGATGTTTTGCAATGCCTGTAAATTTTGACTAAAACTAGGCCGAATTTTTAACGTTTTTCCGGATACGGGTTGTAAAGAATTTGGAGTATACTCAGAATGTCAGTGGTAAAGAATGTGAATGAAAGAAGAGGTGAGAATTGGTTTGGGTATATATAATTCTATGGATGAGTTTGGATAAAAGGGGTTCTCGATGAACTTTGCAGAGGATTTGAAAGGGTTTCCAGCTATGTAGTGTAATGGCATATTTAACTGAGCTATGCTGTGAAAATCAATATTGACTATTTACTTTTAGAAAACATCAATTGAGTTGTTAATTATAGAGATGGTAAGGCTGAAATTGGAATGTAAAGTGTACCTGAATAGAACCCTTGAGAATTTGCTATATACATGAATACATTGATTATAAAGACGTTAATTGTACTGTACCCCTATTTTTGAAACCCCCTTCTAATTTGTTGGTAACTACATATAACATGAATATAACCAATAAAAAACGTAAATTCATAATCATTCCTGATATTAATATACAAAGCAAGAATCTTCAAAATAGCCTAATTTAATTCGGGGTCAATGTGAATCTTAACGATCTTCAGCCCATTCATTTTCACGTTTAATAGCTTCTTCTTCTTCTGGTGAAAAATCATTAACAATGTTAAAGGTACGACGAATTTCTTCTGGTGATTTACCTCTAATCATTTCAGCAACAACTTTACAACCAGCATCTAATAAAGGTCTAATGTTTAAATAATTAGCAGCCAAGATGATTTCATATAACATTTCTTGATCAACTTTTAAAAATTCCTTATCCCATTCATCAACTGGAGCAGATTTTCTTGAATCTTCATCTTCATCATCTGGGAAACTTGTATCTTTATGATGTGTAGCCCATTCTATAACTTTTTTTAAAACAGTTGAACGAACATTTGGAATTGGAATTTCAAATCCATCATCATCATCACCAGCTAAATCACCAATCATATTTTTAATTAAAATTGATCTTTCGGCAATTTTTTTTTCAACTTTAAATGATTCATTATCTGATGAAGTAAGTGTAATTTCTGACATTTTCAATAATATTTATATTCTGTCCAAATTAGTTAGTACTATATCATGAAACACGATATCATCTTTTAAAGGAATTGAATTGTAATTTAAATACTCAAGGATTTTTTCTGAATTGACACACCCTTAATGAACAATAAAATAAACTTTTCGACGCCACTAACAAACAAACAACAAACTCTTCAACCCCTTGTTCAATTCCTCACAAGACAATAGCTTAATATAAGACCTGATATTAACATACTATATTTCTAATTTGAATAACTTGTAAGTTATATAATTCAAATATATTGAATCAAAAATAAAACCAAAATTATACAAATACCAGAATTTTTATATCACTTTATTTTATTCAATGAACACAAAATCAAGGAAAAAAAAGCGCGAATTAAAATCAAAGGTGGTAAGGACACGATATATATCGGATGA